CCCCCCCCCCCCCCCCCCCCCCCCCTCCCCGCTCCCTTTCAGGTAGCAGAGAAATGACATATCTTTTAACTGCTCGCTGGGACGTTTGCAATAAAATTTTTTACAATAACTGTCTAAATTCTCGCGCGCTGATTGGCTTATTGTTATCATCAATAAGAGTACAGACGGATAAAATTTCAATTTAGGCAAGCTTTCAAGTTCAACTTTCAGCTGTCAAACTGTCAACTTTTTGACCAATGAGGTTTTACGGACTTTTCTAAGTAGCCAATCAAAAAGCGAGAAAAGCTATTGACAATGTTCGCGTCATTTTGAATTAATAAAATTCACTTGTCTTTGTTTACGGCAAGTTTACGCCGTCTTTTCCCCTTATTTATTCCCGGCATTTGACCATTTTGGGGTCTTGTTATTGTAAAAAACAAACTGACGTCAGTCTTTTATGCGTCTGTCCTCTTATTGATGATAAATTTCGTCATAACATTGTCAAAGTTTACTGCGGAACCACTCGCCTGCGTCTCGTCGTTCCACGGCCACTTTGACAATGTTAGGAAGTAATTTATCATCAATAAGGGGACAGGCGCATAAAAAACTGACGTCAATTTGTTAACTTACACTGAGATGTGAGACCAAGACTGAAACACATATATATTCACTTTATTCAGTGTCTGCGAATAATATCTTTAAAACCATTGAAGAAGGGATATTTCATCATACAACGTTTTTCTTTTTATTTAACTCCGGAATGGCATATATACAACACTACAATTGGTTCTCATAATTGACGTGTTCTCTTGACCATATATGGTCAAAATGACGCAAAAATGAATATAATAAATAACTGCTGCAAATTATGTCAGCTAGCATGGCTAGAGACATTTATTCTTTAAAAAGATAATCACGCAATTCTCTTCCCCATCTCGTCATCGTTTCTCATAACCGAGGAAGACTGGCAAAGAGAAAGATGCTCGCAATGAGAATACGTTACGTTGCTTAGCAACTGCTTCCTCAAAGGAGACCTGTTCCTCCGAAAGGTATTCATCTTGGAGTATGGCTAGTATTTAGGTGATTGTGCTTGGATCAAACCGAACGTTTTTGTGCTCCTTGAGATTTCTTTCCTTTCTCTTACAGCTCACTCCTGACATCGTCACGTGATAACAGTTGCCTGACGGGATTGGACGATGGTCGATGTCTCGTTTTCACTCTTAGGCTCATACGATGGTCGGCAAATTTTCTGTCGTAAGATTTTTCAAAAAAGAGAAATCAAAACCTGAAGCAAGTTTACCCTATTTTAAATTTCGTTATTTACATACGTTCCCAGAGTATAAAAGTCTGCACACTGACCAAGTGGCCCATCAGGCCGGAGCTTATCCCGGTTTCTGTAGCATGAAGCGGCTAGGAGTATTTCTACTCCCCCCCCCCCCCCCCCCCCCCCCCCCCCCCCNCCCCCCCCCCCCCCCCCCTGGATGGGATGTTAGTCCATTGCAGGGTTACCTCCCAGCATTAAATTCGCCGGTACCCATTTATACACCTAGATCAGTATGGGCGAAGGACGCTCCGGGCAATGAGCTCCTGATCTTTAAACTTAAGTTAGTTTCCTTCCACATACGTCATACTTTTGCTAATAGCGCTTTCAATCACGAGAATTTCACTCACCGTATGTTCGCACGATAGCTTTCAGCGATGTCTTCGGAGGAATGGCGTCTTTTCTGTTTGTTGAGCAAAAGAAAACGAAAATATTCTAAGAATCAATTTCGATGAGCATTTTAATGATTATCATACGTTTTTTCAGCATTAGGTTTAATAATTTAGTTGCAGGTCCTGGTAATACGTCACGTTTCGAGCTGACAATGTCAGTTTTTCATGCGTCTGTCCTGCTAGCTATAGTGATCATGAATTTCGACAGAACATAGTCAAAGTAGCTGTGGATCCACGAGGCGATAGCTGAGTGGATCCGCAGACTACTTTGACAATGTTTTGACGAAATTCATTGTCAATAACAGGACAGACGCATGAAAGACTGAAGTCAATTTGTTTTTTACAATAACAAATTGTCAAATTGTCCGTTTTCGCATCGCATCGCATAAATGATAAATTCATGTGTCTGTCCGTTTATTGACAATGAAAATTAGCCAATGATCGCACGAGAATACCTGCAGTTATTGTGAAAATACTTTTTTCAATTGGCTTTCGTCGATTTCTGACATTTTTCATTTAGTTAATTTATTTCATAGCACTGTATTGAGAAGGATTTCAAGTAACACTTACCACATTCGGCTTTGGTTTCCCAAAAATGCCCTCCAACTCAGCTTTTAAAAGACCTTTCTTACCGTCTTTTTCGTCTGAGACCTTCATTGAAGAAAACAAAGAAGTTCAAGGCTTACAGGAACTATCAAAACTGGAATTTGTACCATGGAAGCTCCCTTCATCAATGTATGGAAAATAACGTTCCACTTTTGGGTCAAATTTGTTGTCATTCCCAAATAACTAATTTCCCTTTATAAGCGGACTGAAGGTCTGAGGATGAGATAGCGATGTAATCATTTACCACCTCTCAAACGGAACTTAGTCTATTTTTTATTTTGCTCACCTTGTCTTTACCCCGCACTCGAGTGGCCCACTCTGGAGTAGGATAACCATACTTCTTCTTTTCTTCGACTTTTTTGAGATCTTCAGCACTTGGCTTCGCCACAGATCGTTTTCCTTTGGTCCAGTCTGGCCGTGCCTCTTCCCAGTAGTCTTTTGTCTTTGGTTTTGGCTTGTCTGGTATTTTGGGCTTCTCGCCGACTGGACTCTTCCCCTTAGCCCAATCTGGCCTCGCCTCTTTCCAATAGTCAGGCTGTGTCGTTGTGGCTGTGGTCGCGTCTTTCTTCCGAAGGGCCGTCGCCTTCCACTCGGGCTTCGGTTTCAAGTTCGGTTTTGTTTCCGAATGCTCTTTCTGTCTGCCGATTATCGCACTTTTCGATTTCGAATCCTTCCTGGCTTTTTTAGCCCACTCGGGATCCTAGAATAGATATAAACAAAATATTGTATGATGCAAGAGATGAGGACAAGAAGACAAGATCCTGGGGCCGGTTAAGGTCCCGAAAAGTTTTCGCACCCAGAAAGCCGAAGCAAAATCTCAAACCTTATGATTACAGAGCTGCTTAATTTACATATTCTTAATATGAACAGAGGTTCCCTTCATACAAGAAGTTTCATGCGTACACACCTTTCTGTGTTTAGATACAGATGAACTAAAAATGGCTTTACGGGCCCGAAA